ATTTTTTCAAGACTTTTTAAAAGCTCTACATCCGACCCTAATTCCAATGACTCTACAGCCGACATTAGCGCTTCCATCAATGTTCTAAGTTTGATGTCGAAGGCATCAGAGTTCATTGTCTTGGAAGACAGTGTCCTTCCTGTAAGCCCCCGTTGATAATTATTACTTACTGAAATACATGTGGATTTTTAAGCCTATCATTTTTTCACTGAAATAATGTGAGGTGAACAAATCATATCACAGTAAAGTGGGGATTGGATTTCGATCAGCTTTATTAATCGCTGACACTAGTCCATAGAATTATGAGTAGATCAGAAGCCATAGAAAGTTTTTAACTGCTTTATTTAAGCTTATACTGATAAGTTATATATAAGTTATACTGATCAATTAGTTACAATGTGAACGCCGAACATCCCAAGATAAAATGTCAATTTTTTAATCTTCTGTTTCAGAATTTTGTTCATGCTGCAAGCAATATGTTGAACAACACCTGGTCTGGTGTCAACACATCTATTGTTCAGGATATGTCATCAAAATATCTTCAGTCTGTGGAACATCTGGTGAGGAATATTAAGGTCAACCAAAGCAATGGAGTGAACAGTACAAATCTAGAGCTCAGATTCTGTTCAGATGACTGCAATATGACTGTGTTTGACATTGACGTTAATATGAACAAGACCAACGGAACAGTGAAAGCTGTTGCTGTGAAAAATCTAATGCGTAGATTAGAAAACAACATCCACGATTCGAAGCCTGACAGCATCTTAGTATCGGTCACAATGGAGAGGAATAGTTCATCCCCAGAAATTAGACTGGCGTTCCCCCAGGAGAATCTGAGTCGCAAAAAACGTATGTGTGTTTTCTGGCACACCTGTGAGACGAAATGGTCAGAAGAAGGATGCAGTGTGGAAACTATGCAGGGCAATAGCACAGTTTGCGAATGCAACCACCTGACTTCATTCGCTGTCATGATGTCCAAGAGTGATGTATCTACACCGGTCCTGGATATGATTACAAATGTCGGCCTGGGTGTGTCCGTCTGCTCCCTGCTGATCTTCCTCATCGTTGAGTATCTAGTGTGGTCGGCTGTGGTCAAATCCAACCTTTCACATTTCCGTCACACAGCTATAGTGAACATTGCTGTGTTCCTCTTGCTCGGTAACTGTAGTTTCTTGGCTTCCAGCTTTCCCGAGAGTCTCAGTGACAACTGGTGCCTAGTTTTGACAATATGCAAGCACCTGTTTTATTTGGCCATGTTCAACTGGATGATGTGCATGAGTGTCATGCTTGTCCACCAGCTCGTCTTCGTCTTCACCCCCCTGAGGAAAAGAGTCTTCATGTTCTTCTCCGGCATCGTTGGCTATGTTTTCCCAATCTTCATAGTGGGATCAAGCTATACGTATTGCAAATACACCGAAAAGCCCTACTATGAAAAGAAAACATGCTGGCTAGTTTTTGATAGAGTCTTGGAGGGTTCCCTTCATGCTTTCCTCCTTCCTGTGGGAACTGTTATTTTGACAAATCTGTTTTCCATGGTGGTCGTCATTCTTACTCTAGTGAAATCCAATGTCCCTGAGGGCGGCAAGGCAGACGACAAGGAGACAGCCAAAAGCATCATCAAAGTGGTGGTCTTTCTAACGCCTGTCTTTGGACTAACATGGATTATTGGCTTTGCTCAGCTCATGTTGAAGGAAAACAGTCCCCTGCATAGTATAGCCATTTACAGTTTTACCATCCTCAACTCCTTCCAGGTAATTTGAAAGCATTGCACACACAAAATAAACTGTTGAAATTTGTGAGGCATCAATCCAACTTTTTTCCAATAGGTCCAAACAGGTAACAATACCAATTCCCAACCTGATACTAGTGTACCCTTTTTCCTAAATGTTACCTCTTTTAATCTGTACACATTTATTGGGAAGTCTAAAGTTTTGAGATTTTCCACTGGAAGTTAAAAAATAAGTTGCATAAAGCCTATTTTCTTCTTGAGGGAGATGTGTCAAATCTGATTAAAATTAATTATTTTTCACCTACTCTTCAACTTCAAGTCACATTAGCCTCTCATAATACGCACAAAATGTGCTATTCAATACCGCAATATTATTTCAACAAGAATGTCTGCCAAAACGTCACACGTTTTAAATTCACTACATTTGTTTTCTTGCAGGGCCTATTCATTTTGATTACAGGTGTTTTTGCAGAGCAGAAGGTATGATTGCTAGCTTGTCTCTCATTCCCTTTCAGCGTCAATATATAAATAGATTTTTTTGAATCTCCCTTATGTCTTGTGGTTGTAGTAGAACATTCTTCCTGGGCCATAGGAAGCCTGGGTTTGATTAATGGGGCCCAAATGTTGCCAATAATTATGTTGTTCGGTATTTATTTTAAAGCTATTTGTTTTATAACCTAACAGGTTCGAGAAGAAATGATAAAGCTCATAATGGTAAGTCAACCAATGAAGTATCCAGAATGACAACCTAAAGTAATCTTGACATTCATCATAACCGTTTTTTTTCTACCTGCAGGCAAAGTCAAAAGGAAAAAGTGAGAGCATGAAGAATTTGACCTCAACCACCTACGCAAGAGACAAATGAGGACCGAGGTCAGTGCTAGATCACGTGATTAGTTGTTGCATTTTAACCTCTGTCCATGCATTTGCTACATCTTCATTGACACACATTCAAAAAGCATTACATTTGAACTAAATTTTCATTAAAAATACTTACCTTCTGCACTTATCAAAGCAGTAAATAAGTTAACTCAAACCAAAAGACCGCTCTTTAAAGTCATAAATCAAAGACTTACTTCTTTGATCTGATGATGACCTGTTAAGCCCTGAGCCTGTTTTTCAGGTCTCAGGCTCGATATGACCATATCTTTCCTTCTAAAAAGGTTAAATTAATAGTCTTTTTTTCTCAAAGCAAGGTTACATCTGTGAGTTGGATGTAGAAGTGTCAGAATCAATATATAGATATAAAAAAAATATATTACTTATAGTGAAAACCACCCTTGAATGATGGGATGGTAGACTAAAAGCTTTAGGAATCCAAACTGTAACATATAAGTACCCTGTGTCAAGATTGATGCAAAACAAGTGAAATGTTACATTTTTAGAGAGATTTAGCAACAAAAAAACACTTCTGGGGTCATTTGGGTGGATTTGACCTACAGTATCTCTGGCCCCCCTTGGCCGATTTTGATGATTGACACCTCTTTTTAACCGTCAGAGCCAATGGAATCGAGGGGAACTCCCACATACACACACACGTTACCAAATAAGGAGTGAGAGTGACGCGTAGCCAAAACCGGAAGCTGCGATAACTCTGGTGGCATTAGCAGCTAACTTTTATTCTCCGATTTTTACATAAAAATGGAATTATGGATTATAAATATTTTTTTCAAAGTGACAGACATTGGATTAACCTATGGATTAACCCTCAGCAGCGTTTTTATCGTTTTAATGCCATTGAACACGACTTTTTAGACCCTCCAGAAAAACGCGGGCAAAAATCCTTGATTATGCAGGCTAAATTCTTTGATTATGCGGGCTAAAATCCTTGATTATGCGGGCTAAAATCCTTGATTATGCGATTAAACATGCGGGGATTTTATGTGATTTTATGCGGTGAAATTGCGGGAAGTTGCGAAATATGCGGAAAGTTGCGAAATATGCTAAATATGCGGGGAAAAAGAATAACAATTTTTTTTAATATTGGGCTGTCTTATTTATTCTCTCTCACACACAACCTGCCACTAACGTTAAACCCCTTTACTATTCAATTTAACACATTCAATGTTTATTTATTGTAAAAGCAATTGGGCTATTTTAATCTCTCACACACACACACACACACCCTGATCGCTCAGTTTCATGGGGGCTTAACAGGTCTGATCACTCACGTTATTATAAATAGTTCATCCTTGGGATATATGGCTGCTGCCTTATAGAATAGAATATTAAAACCTGTGGTTGGATGTTTATCTGTTTTTACTTCAATCAAATAACCAAATGTACTCTATCGGCTTTAGTTTGGCACATTTTGAATGTGAAAATCTATGAATACTCTTAACACTTGTCCATATCTACATTTCAGATTGCAGACTCGGAAACAGCAACTCTTGGATGCAGCTCCTCCGATACTGCTTTGTGTATAGTTAGATAGTTACAGAACTATAGAGTAATGTTCAAAAACTAGGTTTATTTTATTTAATTTGATAGCACTGAATATTATTATTATTTTTAGCTCTTACACGTATGGTTATCATCCATGAAATCATATTCTGCTCCAGGAAAGAATTTAAGATAAGAATATAGCTAATGCATACATTTTGATGCCATTTTATATTTTTAGGGTAAAGTTGATACAGACTATTTCCATTCGTTTTTATGTGCCAAAGAAGTTAAATACATTACACTCTATAGCTTTAAGGGGAAGCTTGTGTATCTTGATGTTCTGCATTCTGTACATGGAGTTTGAGCTGACTGTATATGGGATATCGTTTGTTTTTTTAGGAGCCCTATGATTATTAGGGGTTTTCCCTTTCCTGTAGTGTGTTATATAGGCTTTAGCGCATGTAAATGGTCTAAAATCCCTGTGCTCCCTCCCGACATACATCCCCTCTGCCTGAAACGCCATTGGACTCCTTTGTTTAACTCTTTAACATAGTGAGTAACAATCACTCTTCCATTGGCTAGCACTCCAACACATGGTACGTGATAGGCTAAGGGGCGGCTCAAAGCGTTTCACCCATCACAGCAGAGCCGGCCAGCTAACCAATCAGAACAGACTGGGCTCTGGTTTCAGACAGAGGGTGAACAGTAGAGGCACAACTTATACATATGAACCTGGCAATGAGCATGATAGGGCCCCTTTAACAAGTTTGGCATGGTTTGATAATTTTGCTTGAATCTATATATGTACATTACTTGATTTAAACTATAACCTGTGTGTCTAACCAGTGCATGTATCCAAAAATATGTATTGAAATAAAGACAAGTAATACAATGTATTTTATTGTTATCATTACCCAATGAAGTTTAAATCCAAGCTTTGCATTTTCCATGACAAATGTAATTTGCGGACAAGCGGACTGCATGTGATTATTTTTATCATACCAAACAAAGTTAATGGATAAGTACGGGAGATTTCAAGGCTCATTCTAAGATATACAAAAATTAATTTAGAAGCGTACGCAAAATATGATTCAGGAAGTTAATAATTAGCTTATCAGATTTTACAAACACTTCTCACTTCAGCCTTGTCACCAGCTTGCTGTGATTTCACTGCTGGGCGAATGCAGAGGATATATTACCCCCCTGGAAGATGTGTCACTGAGCTCTCCTGATGACGGTGAAGATGGCCAGTGTCAACACAACGGTCCCTGCTGCGCCACCAATCAGAGCGCCCAGAATGCCTCTGTCTATGTTTGTTTTCTCACACCTCTTACCAGTGTAGTAGGTGGTCTGGCTAGATGCACACCTGGAGAAAAGTGCACATTAAATGATTTTGTGATGCACAATAACTGCATTTTTCTGATGGCTGTGTCATCTGGCTTGCAAGAGTTAGATAGGCAGCGTCAAATGAGATAACTAGAGGTAAAATGTACAAAAATGATCATCTTAAAAAGGTCTCCTATTATGCTATTTTTAGGCATATATTATAGGTCTCAGATATATACAAATACATGTCTATGAAGTGTTTTGCTCAAAAACAAAAACAAATATCATATCCCTCTATTTTAGCCCTGTTAGAGAAGTGCTGATTCTGGGTCTAAAGGTTTAAAAAAAAAAAAAAAAAAAGGGAGGGGAGTGGAGCTTATGCTGAGTATCTGATCAGGGGCATTCTACCCAGATACAGCTAAAAGCTGCCGTGATTAAACGCCATATCATGTTCCAAACCATATTAAGGACTATTTCAGTATGGAGCTCAAATGCTTTTTATCTTGCGGGTTTACAACAAGGTGAGGTGAGCTTGCTAATGTAAACAAAGACCATATTACTTCCAAAACATGTCGGGCATTGTTTCTAATAGCGACATATCTGATAGGGTGTAAAGCCAGCCCACATTTCCGATATTACGTCATATCGGCAGCAAATCTGGATCAGCTCAGTTGTACTCCCGTTTTTAGAGATTTGGGTAAGGACGAAAAGAGAGAGGGTTTTGTTTTCTGACACCTTGTGAGTCTCCTGATACAACGGGGGGACATTTTTATGTATAAAAAGACATCAAAACATGCATTTTGCATGATAGGAGACCTTTAAGTAATGCAAATAGGCACATGCTGTAAATCCAAACAAACACACACCTGCATGAGGCTTCCCCTTTACTCTCCACACACATGCCTCCGTTTATGCAGTGGTTGGGGCCACACGGGTTGGCAGCGCGTGCTTCTCTGTGTTTCGGGGTCTCCGGTTTCATTTTCAGCTCGCTGACTGGCTTCTCCTCTGGAATTTCGTTCCTTGGTGCGGCCGGTTTGACAGGCACCTCAGTCTTGATCAGGTGGGTCAAATCTAATGAAACAAGTTGGATTTAATGACAATGTCAAAAGAATCTTGGAAGTTGAAGAAGAAATTATAAAAATATGTGATAACTGGCAGAATCTTTGTTGGTCCAGTATGGAGCTGATATTTCAGATTCTCACCGTTGAAGTCAGCCGTAATGATGAGGTCATCGTTTTTGAGGAAGCTCCTCCTCTGCAGATGCTGGATGGAAATAAACGTGCTCCAGCCAAATTCTTGACCTGAAGTAGCTGTTGGTTTGTTCCAGCGGGGATCAGTATCTAAGAGTCAAGAAAAACAGTGTTATGGATTGATTTCTAAAGCAGACATATTAAAAAGCCAAACTTTTTGTAAATAATTCAGCTACAATAACCCTTCCATTGATAGAAACCCCTCTTTTTTCTTAATGCCAGTGACCTATGCGTACCTGTGGTGAAGCTTCTTGTAGAAGACATCCTCAGTCTTACATCAGGGTCCTGGTCCATAGCAACGATGGTCGCCTGTCTGTTTTTGGCTGGCCACTCCATCACTGCATCATTTTCCCCGCTGCACAGGAAGAAGGTCATGCCAACATAGTCTGGATAGGCACTGTCTTTTCCACTGGGGTAAACATTGATGCCGAATGAGTAGCCCTCCGAGTTGTAGAAGCAATTGCTTTTCACCGGGGTGCCAAGAGGGGTGGTGGCGAGAACGTTGGAGAACTTATGCATCTGCCAGACAGCACTGGGGCAAATGGACTCAGTAAGAGTGATGTCATCGATCAAGATGGCCCCCGAGGAGACTGATGATCCTTTAATGCCCTGGAAGAAATAACGGAACTTCCCTGTTACCTTCAGATTCACGTGGGCTATTTTCCAGGCAGCATCTCCATCACCTGAAAGACAAAAAGCAGGGAATTCATTAGGATTTATTTTTACACGTATAAAAAGCCTTACCAGAGTTGGGTGTAACGCGTTACAAAGTTTTTGTCGGTAACGGAGTAGTGTAACACTACAGTTACTAACATTGCCCCGACACGCGTTACTTTGTTACTTTTATAAAATCAGTCATAATCACACTGACATAATCATAATCACGGTTTCCGCCGCAGGTTTATATGTACGTAATCTGCGCGACTTCGCGTCCACATCTCCACGTGCAGTGCTGCATAAACATGGCTGAGTCAGCGATAACTTTCGAGGGGTGGAAGTATGCCCATTATTTTGAGTTTGTCCGAAGAATAGACAGGAATGTGACGGTGAGGTGCAAACTGTGTCCAGGCCAGAAGCTGTTATCCACTGCTGTAAACACCACGTCAAGCCTCAACAAACACCTGCAAAGAACACATGCTAAGGTGAAGCTAACGTAGTCTGTTCTTCTTCTCTGTCTTCCGGTTGTTGCCTGTTTTGAATGACGAATACACACTACCGCCGCCTGCTGGTAAGGAGAGTTATTGCCACTCACGCATGCGCAGTTTGTACGTGCTCGGCGAGTAAAGTAACGAGTAAAGTAACGAGTTACTTTATGTAGAGAGTAACGAAGTAGTGTAATATATTACTTTTTTTTAAAGTAATATGTAATATGTAATATATTACATTTTTTTTGTAACGACCCCATCTCTGTCCATAACTTAGTAACAGAGATGGTCAAACTAAAGTGGTAGAGACATGGCAGAATTCCTACAATGAAGCGGGACATTGAACTGTTCACCCGTGAGAGGGCAATCAAGAAAAGAGAGCGAGCGGCCCCGTTGAGGAAGTTTACAGATGAAAAGACTCAGCCATGTTTATGAAGCACTGCACGTGGAGATGTGGACGCACAAATCGCGTACGTAGGGCTACATGTATACAAACCTGCGGCGGAAACCCCTCTTGTCTGTCAGTGAGTGTGATTATTTTATAAAAGTAACGAAGTAACGCGTGTCGGGGCTATGTTAGTAACTGTAGTGTGATTGCTGAATTATAAAACGCGTTACACTACTCCGTTACCAACAAAAGTAATATTATTACAGTAACGCGTTACTTTGTAAATGATGAATGATGGATGTCTGGACATTTGAAAGGAAGTTTGCCAGGGATGGATCAGACATGCTAAAACATTATGTCCCAGGTGTGTTGTTGGAGGCCCCAAATGGAAAACCTCCCCATTGATATCAGGACAGCTAAAAGTTTTCCATCCAGACTGAAAACTTTGAAGACTCAGGGTCTGAGGGACAGCAGTGCACCACAATGGGAAACCATTTCTAGGGGCATTCTAGGGGCATTGTCATGTTCAGAGATGGGGTTGTTACTCAAAAAAAGTAATATATTACATATTACTTTTTAAAAAAAAGTAATATATTACTTTACTTCGTTACTCTATACATAAAGTAACTCATTACTTTACTCGTTACTTTACTCGCAGGGCCGCCCTTCCCTACAGGCAGATCACGCAGACTGAGGAGAGTGCTTCATTTTGCAGAGGGAGCCTCATCTGAAGCGCAAATGCGGTGCACCTACAGTGTCGTTACTTTACTCTACATCCTCACTCTGGATTTGGATATCCTCCTTAGCTATTAGCTTCGCGTTAGCATGTTGTCTTTGCAGGTGCTTGTTGATGTTTGATGTGGTGTTTACAGCAGTGGATAAAAGCTTCTGGCCTGGACACAGTTTGCACCTCACCGTCGCATTCCTGTCCTTTCTTCGGACGAACTCAAAATAATGGGCATACCTCCACCCCTCGAAGGTTATCACTGTTGACTCAGCCATGTTTATGCATTGCATGTGGACGCGCAAGTCGCGCAAATGTTACGTAAATATAAACCTGCGGCGGAAATCCCTCTTGTCTGTCAAAGGGAGAATCTAGAAATTCTGTATGTTAGTAGGTAACTGTAGTGTGATTACTGATTTTATAAAAGTAACAAAGTAACGTGGCAATGTTAGTCACTGTAGTGTGATTACTGAATTATAAAACGCGTTACATTACTCCGTTACCGACAAAAGTAATATTATTACAGTTATTATTACACCCACCCATATGATGTTCCCGAGGACATAGGAAGTGAACGGGTAACCCTAGATTATGTTCATCTATCAGATACTTAACACACACAAATACATTTTCAGTGTCTATTCTTTGAATGTATTCATGTAAACCAGTATTCAAAAGGGTGTTGAATAAAATGTGGTGATGATTAATGGTTTTTGTGTTCATGTAAGAGCAGTAAGGGGGGAGAAACGGGTTAATGTGGACCTCTTGCACCTACGTATCTTAGATAAACTGAAGAAGTGGGGGTGAGGTGAGGTGAGGAAGACTCCCTGATATAGTGGATACACCTCGGATGAAGAAGATATGTGAGAGGATTCAGGTCTCGTGGTGCGAAGTGGAGAGCAACAACCACAGCAGGATGATGGATCAGAGCCTACAACTGACAGAGCAGGCCAGGTGCACCATGGGATACGTGATAGATGGAAAGAGGGATGAAGGAAAGGAGAAAGAGAGGGATGAACGGAAGGAGGAAGAGCGTAAAGAAAGAGAGGATAGAGAGACTTAGCATGGGAGACTAAGACGAAAACACGTTTTAAGAAAAGGAGAGAAGAAGGAAAGAAAGGAGGTGAGTGAAGGAGATATAAAAGGATGGAGGAAAGGAGGAAGAAGGCAACAGAAGGTGAGGAAAAAGACACCCGAAATATTGCCCCGTTAAGACAGTTACAGGAATTTTGATTCAAAACAAGTCAGTTTGAAATATGAAAAAGTTAGATGGAGGTAAGGTTGTGAGAAAACGCATATTAGCATATAAGCTAGTTAGCATATAAACTAGTTAGCTCCAGTTTTTTAAATATTCCAGGTATTTTTTTGTACTTAATCTGACACAGGAAGGCCATTTCCAAGGCAAGAAAACATTTATTTCCAGTGCCCAATCATTCCTCTATCAGTCTAGCAACAAATACCAAATCACTCGCTGCCTGAAACTACCTTCGAAAAAAAGAATAACAGTCAGTTTTAAGGATTAAAAAGTTAAAAAGAGTAAAAAGACGGAGAAAAGGTTGATATCGCACATTAGCTAGTTAGCATATTAGCTCGTTAGCATATTAGCTCGTTAGCATATTAGCTCGTTAGCTCCAGCTGATTAGATCCTCCAGGTTTTATTTGAGCTGCTAAAAATCAATAATCTGTATTAAAAATCTGTAGAGAAAGTAACATGTGCCACTGGAATTATGAATAAAAGAAAATTAATACATGGCTTTTGCTAAAAATAAAATGATTATATTGCCAACACAATCTCCCCATCCCTCTCTTCTGTGAAACACACAGACCACCCCGTCTCCTTTCATTCACGGCGATGAAAATTCAAATTCAAATCTGCTTTATTGGCGTGACAGTGGCGGGGGGTTGTCTCGTGTTAGAAGACGGGCTAAGACAATAAGCCAATCTGTATGCTC